TCAGTCTTAAGAACCAATCATACACACTGCCTCCATTTCTCTGTGTAATTGTTTCCATAGATGGAGCATCAAGGAAGAGCTGAAAGAGACCTGTTCCCTAGACTGGGGTGTCTCCAGGAAAGTACCTATCATGCAATCAAGCTATAGCCAGTGCACCTGACATTTGGCATGTTCCACCACAGGAAAATCAGCATATACTACAAACAAGAGGGTTTTTAAATCTGTTTTTTATTCAAACACAAGTTTGCTCAGCCCTTGCTGGAGAAGGAACATGGAGTGCACTAGGTGGCAAGGTGTGTGAGCTGTTGGAACTTCTGGGGCAAAGATTATAACCAAGGGACCCTTTCAGGATGGGTTTGTTTCAGGCCAGGGATAATTACCAAGTAGTTATTACTACTGTGATCTTTACTGTGAGCATTTTCTGTGGCCTTTACCAGCATGAAGCTTGGGGAAACCCAGATTAATTTGCGTATTAAGAACAAGAAGTTGAATCTGAATCAATTTCCAAAGTAGAAAGTGTAGGCTGTGGAACCTTATCTGTTGTGCCTGCAAGTCTGTAAGTATCCTTGAGCATCAATGCCCAGTTACTTTACATGCTGTGGTCCAGAGCTTGCACTAAGTGGGTAAATTAGGCTTGCCAGTATGGGCTCATACCCTAACTTAGGTAAGAGAAAATTTGTGCTGTCAAATGAGTGAGAGAAATCCAAAGATTGCTCTAAAATATGTGTTGAATAGATTCTAGGGATGTGAAATCTTCAGAGAAAGAAGAGGGAATATAGGGCTTTGAACCCTTCAAAGGGCTTTTATCTGCCTCCTGGCATCACTTGTGCCTTACTTATTTTCTCTGTACTGAACCACTGCTAATGCTCAAACACAGGCTTTCCAAGCACCAAGCCTTACTAGGGCAGTGGCAGGACCTTGCCTTCAGGAAGCAATTGTGCTCCATGCTCATGCAGTGTGACTGTGCAGTCCAAGCTGTTCTGGCAAGGGCTGTGTGCACCCTTGTAACAAGATGAGAGACTGAAATGCTCCTTATGAAACACTGGAATTCAGCCTATCAAATATCACATCTCCCAGGTGCTAGAAAGCTTGCCAGCTTGCTCATAGCTCTGTTTCACTAAATCTCTGAAATAAATGAACACAAAGCAAAATACAGTGTTATGGCTGTCTGAAATTCTGACCACATACTAAAAATTGACACCACTTCCTGAAGTTTGTTATAATAATCCTCCCCCATTTGGACAAGATCTCAGAATTGAATTAACTATTTAATTAACCACTTTGGTATTACATTCATTTGACAAAGCAGAAATGCTGACACTGGATCAATGTGGCTGCACCCTCCAGTCACTGCCTGTATGAGTGCACACAGCATCAGTGACACTGGCACTGACCCTGCCCAAAGCATCAGTGACACTGGCACTGACCCTGCCCACAGCATCAGTGACACTGGCACTGACCCTGCCCACAGCATCAGTGGCACTGGCATTAACCCTGCACACAGCATCAGTGGCACTGGTATTAACCCTGCACACAGCATCAGTGGCACTGGCACTGACCCTGCCCAAAGCATCAGTGACACTGGCACTGACCCTGCCCACAGCATCAGTGGCACTGGCACTGGCCCTGCACACAGCATCAGTGACACTGGCACTGACCCTGCACACAGCATCAGTGGCACTGGCATTAACCCTGCACACAGCATCAGTGGCACTGGCATTAACCCTGCACGCAGCATCAGTGACATTGGCACTGACCCTGCACACAGCATCAGTGACATTGGCACTGACCCTGCCCACAGCATCAGTGGCACTGGCACTGACCCTGCCCACAGCATCAGTGGCACTGGCACTGGCCCTGCCCACAGCTCCCAGGCACAGAGCAGACCCTGCCATTCCCCCCAGCCAGCTGTGGCACCACAGCACAGGTCATGACAAAGGCAGTGCCCTTCCAGGTGGCACCTTGAGGCTTGGGTTGAATTACCATGTCCTGTTTGAGCACTGAGTTTCAACCTCAGTTGTCCAGCTGGTATGTAGTGAGCTTGACTGTGGAATGAGCTCCAAATGCAGTCAGTAGTAAACTGTTAAAGGCTCAATTTTAATTTGTGAATCAGGGCTCCTTTTGGTCATATGTGCTATAAAACATGTGAGCACTTAGTTTAGAATGAGGTAATTTTATAGGGGAGAAGTAAGACAAGGAGAAAGAAAGGGGAAGGAGAAGGAAACTGATTTTGGTGTCTTATATAAATCTCTTCTTGGAGGGAGAGAGATTTTAAATGCAGTGATTGCATTTAAAATACATACAGTGTCAAGCCATTATATACATATTGTAATATGTCTTACATATATTCTCTGGATAAGTTTATATTTTTCACAGGTGGAACAAGCTCGCAAATTTTCTGAAGTCATGAGAGGCTGATTTACCCATTCCATCAGTATTTTTCAGTTATTTTGCCTAGAGCTTTCCTGTTCTATTCCAAGTAAGACGAATTCAAGAAATAGTTAAAATCAAAGCTTACAGCATTTGCAACTCACCTCACACACTTATTTTCACACAGTGTTGTGTTTTCCCCTGTGTTTTTCTTTCCTCCCTCTCCCATAAGCTTACACTTCACTCCTTCCAGCCCAATATAGGAATAAAAGCAGGGCAATGCTTCTATTTCTGTCTTTGCCACTGACTCACTGTATAGTTTCTTAAGCATTTACATTTTCCACTTGGATCCTCTGGTATCTAAGAAAATGAATGTGTCTGTTGATGTTTTCTTCATGGTAAGAGCACTCGCAATGTCTCTCTCTGTGCAGATTCTATTGCATTTAGTAAGGCTTGAGTCCACACTACAACCTTCCTATCAGTGAGGATATTAGCAGGGGTTCTGACTTCAGCCTAGATGCCTACTTTAATTACAACAATCAGAAATGTACCTTTTGAGATTGGTCAGTCAGATTTTACTTCAACAGCCACAAAATTTTGAGGTGAGGCACTCACAGATTTGCACACAAAACAGCATCATCATATACACTCTCCTTCATAATGCATGCTAAAAAGGAGCCAGAGATATTCACAGAGCATAATGTGATCCTGGGAACAGGAGATACACAGAGTTATTTTAATATGGAGAATGCTGGCTACCTTGTGCTACAGAGCCCTGCAGCACTACTGTCTGCTGAATATGCAAAAGCATTGCTCTTTCCTTTTCAGTGCTGTATTGCCTTAGGTCCAGCTACTGTCCCACATACAATCCTTCACAAACATATTCTGTCCTTTGGGGTCATTTTATTGATTGCTACATAAAAGTAAATGTATCACATCAAATTAGCAAGTGTGTAGATAAATCTTACAAACTAAGCTTCAGTCCTTACAGCTGGAATGAACATCAGAGACCTATTTGGTTTGCAGATGTTGGCAAAAGCCACGTATGTGGAACTACAGATGGTTCCAAATAAGACAAAAGTGGAGTTGGCTCTTATATGCCAGCCTGTGTTATTTTTACAGCTCCTACTGCTTTAACAAAGTATATATTTAATTAGAGAAGATTCTCCAGCAGTTGTTTGAATTATGAGTTAGTCTTACAGATAAACACATTAATAAGAAATGTATTCCAATTTTCAGTATCATAGCAGGAATAACACAGTGGGCTGCTTAATGAAGACTGTGATGTCCAAGGCACAAAGAAAAACAGGACCAAGTGTTAACAATCTGTTATGAAATGGTACAATCCAACTAGTTGAGCTTAAATATGCTGATTTTCTTTTTTACAAAGTAAGCTGCCAGCTATGCTGTTCAAGGTTAATTTTAAAAATTTCCACTCTCTCAACTAATTACCAGAAATATCATAAGAATACAATGGAAATCACATACTGCTTGAAAATTATTTGTATTGGAACTAGTGACTGGAGTAGTTTTAATTAAGAGGCAAAGAAACAAAAAAATACCTAATGTAAAAATAAATACCTGCTTCCCATATCAATTAATTGCATTAATTGATATTTTCTATTCATGTCCTAATCTCTTTTTTCTCATGACAGGATTACCATGCAAATTCTTTGAAAATGAAGGATTACTCCCTATTTGCATGAGGATACTTCATTGAATGTAGGCTGTAAATATGTGCGGTAATTATATAAATTTAAATTACAATATGCATATTAATATAATAATAAATAGAAGACTGTTGAAATACATCAGACGATACCTTTGGCTGAAAAATAAAGACGCAGGGTTTGGGTGCTGTGAACAACTTATTGCCAAAATGCAGCAGACCCAAACTAGAGATCTTAGGTTTCTGTGCTTTTGGTTTCATTACATAAAATTTCAAACGAAAAACTAAACGGCACAATACTTTTTTGGTGAAAACAGATTCTGACAGCCAGATCTGAGCGCATTCCCAGTGGATGCAAACCGACACGAAGTGACATCCTGCTCTCTAACCAAGCTGAGATGTGATCGCGGTCCCCAAAAGGAGACGCTCGGAGAGCGCCAGGTCCTGCCTCGCCCCGGACACTTGGACAAGTACAGCCTGAGGGCTGGCACAGGGCTCTTCCCGGGGCGATGCTGCGGGGAAAGCTCCCCCCGCGCGTTTGGGAACAGCGCTCCATCCCTTCCCGGGCAGCCCCCGTTCGGTCCGGCGGCGCGGGGGCCGCGGGCACCGGCTCGGCCCGGGGCTGCTGCCGCCGCTCGGTGCCGGCGCTGCGGGCGGAACGCGCGGCTGCCCCGGCCCCGCTCCGCCGCCCGGAGCCCCTGCGGGGCCGCGGCGGGACAGCGCCTCCCTCGGGCCCCGGGAGCGGCGGCGGCGAGCCGGGAGGCGGGAGGCGAGGCCCCGGCAGCCGGCGGGTGAGTAGCCCGGGACAGCCCGGGACAGCCCGGGGCGCACCGAGGGCGGCGGGCAGAGATGCCCCCGCGGGCGGCCGCTCGCACAGCCGCTGGCCGGGGCGGGTCCCGCCGCCGCCTCGGGCGCTGTCCCGCCGGCAGGAGCGGCCGCGGGGGCCGGGGCGGCGCCCCCGATGGGGAGCGCGGCGCCGGGGGGCGGCCCGTGGGTGCTGCGGGCGCTCACCGGGTGCCTGCTGGGCGCGCTGGTGCTGGGCACGCTGCTGGGCAATGCGCTCGTGTGCCTCGCCATCCTGCGCTTCCGCCACCTCCGCAACAAGGTCACCAACTGGTTCGTGCTGTCACTGGCCATCTCGGACCTCTGCGTGGCCCTTTTGGTGATGCCCTGGAAGGCGGTCACTGAGGTGGCTGGAGGCTCCTGGCTCTTTGGCAGCCACTTTTGTGACACCTGGGTGGCCTTCGACATCATGTGCTCCACCGCCTCCATCCTGCACCTCTGCATCATCAGCCTGGACCGGTACTGGGCCATCGCCAGCCCCTTTCGCTATGAGCGCAGGATGACGCAGCGCCTCGCTTGCGCCATGATAGCCATGGCCTGGGCTCTCTCCATCCTCATCTCCTTCATCCCCGTGCAGCTGCACTGGCATAAAGCCAAGGACAGTAGAGACTCAGGCTCCTGGCTACCTGCGACACCCCGCTGCGATGTCAGGTTGAACCGCACTTATGCCATCACCTCCTCCCTTATCAGCTTCTACATCCCCGTGGCCATAATGATCATCACCTACACCAGGATCTACAGAATTGCCCAGGCCCAGATCCGCCGCATCTCCACCCTTGAGAGAGCAGGGGGGCAGTGGCCAGCTCCTGGCAAGGAGCCCACGTCCTCTCTGCGGCGTTCCTTGCGCAAGGAGACCAGGGTGCTGCAGACCCTTTCTATCATAATGGGAGTCTTTGTTTGCTGCTGGCTGCCCTTCTTCCTGCTGAATTGCCTGCTGCCTTTCTGCCAGCCCAGCCTCCAGGAGGACCCTGAAGGGCAGCCACTCTGTATCGGCCAAACCACCTTCAACGTCTTTGTGTGGTTTGGCTGGGCCAACTCTTCACTGAATCCAGTCATCTATGCTTTCAACGCAGACTTCAGGAGGGCTTTCAGCAATCTCTTGGGCTGCCAGTGCTGCTGCACACCTGAATCCCCTGTGGAGAGGGTCAACTTCAGCAATGAGCTGGTTTCCTATCACCGTGACACCACCTGCCAGAAGGAAGGAGCTGTCCCATCGTCAGTGCCTCCTGCTGCCACCACTGCCTGGGTGCAGCCCGTGCCCCATGCCATAAACCTCCAGGGAGAGCACAGCAGTGAGGAAATGTCTATGGAGAAGAGGGCTGTGACTTCTCAGACTGCCCTTGGCAGCAGCCCCAGCAGTTGTCAAGTGCCAGCTATTCTGCAATTGGATTGCAAGGCAAAGCCATCCCTGTGAACTGCTGCCCCCTGTACAGGACTTGGTCAGTGTAAGGGACCCCCTTGTCTCAGAGGGATGAGTGATGAATCACTTCTCACACACACAGCCACCACACAGGGAGAGTTCTCCCTGTCTCCATGTAAGCTCCCCAGCAACAAAAGTCCCGTGCCAGAGGTGTGGGAAAACACTGCTCTTACCACACAGGAGGCATATGGAGTCCATTCCAAAGGCACATAGCTGCCACACATTTACCTCTTCCCACGGCCACCTTCACCCCTTACTCCCACATTAGACATCTCCCATGCATTTGTTCACGCCCATTCTACAGTCAAATTTGAGGTATATATTAACAAGAGTAGATAATTAGATCAAAGTAAAAAAAGCTCATAGTTCAGGCAGCCAAGCCCTTCAGAAAGTAGAAATATAGTATGATCCACAAAATAAAGAGTGGCCAAGTCATCTCTGTCAACCCATTTCACTACTTGCAAATACGAAGATCAACACAAGGCAGAGCAAATGGGTGTTGGATGCAGGCAAGAGAATACTGGGAAAACTATGATTGTTTCTATCTGTGTAGAAGGGTTCAGCAGACATTAAGGCAATACAGTGGCATCTCATTGCCCTCTGTTTCTCTGTTCACTAAAAGGTTCTGCTGTTGACCATTTATAATAGAGTGCTCCACTCACCACCATCCTCGTCCCATTTTTTCTGTCCTTCACCTATGATGGATTGCCTTTGATTTTCAGGAAGATGATGAAGATGCAACTGTCCAGAAAGAGACATAAAGAATGCTTACAATGAAAGAGCTTTCTTGGGCAATGTCTCACAGATGGTACAAATTATACTTTTCAGAACAGTGATCTGTGCTGAAAGGACAGCAGCAGAAAAGAGACTCTCCTCCCAGGGATCCTGCTCCCTGTGATTTTAAACCAGGTGTAGTTCTTAAATCCCTGTATGCATTTTCCCCATCATTAGTTCCTATGTGAAAATATGCTCATGCTATCCTGCTCTTTTCAGGAATGTGTCCTTGGGGAATACTTGGGTGTGACTGCCATCTGTTCTTGGGCTACAGAGGCAGGACAAGAGGTAATGGGCTGTAAGGAGGACCAAGGCAAGAATTTATAAAAGCTTTCTAAGAAAAGGGTAATTAAGCACTGGAGTAGATTGCCTAGGTAAATTATGACTTCTCTCTCAGTAAAATGACTGTAAGCTTCTGTCAGATATGACAGTGACAATGTTGATCCTGTCTTGGGGCAGAGGCACAGAGTAATGGTCTCTTGAGATAATCTCTAGTCCTGCTTCACTATGACAATGTGTCTCCTTAAGAAGCATTGAGCTTCAGATGTTTGGCCGTGGGTTTTTTTGCATGCAACTATCCTTAGATGTTTTATTATAGGCAAAATAGGTACAGATAAGAACTTTGAGATGTCATTGGTATAATTCCTTTCTTTTAGTGATTATCTGAGCATTTCACTATCATTCAGCATGCCTAGTGCCTCCTCTGGAGAGCAACCATGAAACAAACCTGTTTGATTCCCATTGATTAGTTTCTAGGTGATCATATATGAACTGTACATGGATTCAGATGTTAAAGATTCTATTTATATTTTCCTCAATACATTCTTTCTTCTTACACAAACCAGAAATGCATAAGAATGTCGGAGTCTTAACTCCTTAAAACAAACAAACAAGCAAACAAACAAACACATTTGTATCTTCAAGCTCTAAGAGACATCTCATTCCATGCTCTCCACACTAAAACCCATCCTGGGGGATGCTGATAAACCTGACAAGACACTACCCTGAATTGTGAGCTCCCAGCTGCCTGCCACCCTTGTGCTTCTGTTGCACGAGCTTCAGCTGGCTCCATTCCTCAGAGAGGGAACTGTGCCTGCCCTCACACCTTCCAGCTCATGGGCAGGCACTCCTCTGGCAGTCGAGGCCACACATGAAATTATTATGCACAGGAGATAATTTTTTGGTTTTTAGTATGTGTACAGTCTCATTATTAGTGGTAAAATAAGTTAATGAATGGAAGAGAAAGATTTACCTTCTCCCAAGGTTTGTCCTGCTATGGGAGCTGTCACACCCAGGAATTAGGCTGGATTTACTATTTAGAGTGATGATGAAAATGGTGAAGGACAGAGTGGGTAGCAGAAATTTAGCAATGGATATATTTGAACAATGTTTTCTCTTAAGAACAATCATAAATGCATGGTAGCTTCAATCTATGAAACTATATTTGTATTAAGAATGGAAAAAGCTATTTGTGTCAGTGCTTGTGGTCATAGTTCAAATATGCTTCATTAATAGGTCAGATTGTACCTGAAAATAAGTGTACATTTTCCTGAAGAAAAATTCCTGGTCTTTACTGCATCTTTTTAAAGCGACAACTTGGAATTGTTTTTTGTAAGTGATGTCTGAAATAATTGTAGCTAATTGCTAATGGTTATTACTGATGTGCAGATGATACACATTACAGTAGTTTACAGTAGTAAGGTCTGCTGCAATAAGTGCAGTGTAATGATCAAGACTGCAATAAATTTCAGAAATTGCATATTATAAACTCTTTATTCTCATTTTCAGTAGCATATTACTGAAGGTACTTCATATGAAACTACACCCAATAGCTATTCAGACTACATCTGCTGTTGCTGATTTAATAACATATAAATATTGACACTCTATGTAGTTTTATTTTCCTAGACTGGGAAGCATTCTACAGATCACCCACTTCTGTGAATAGCAAATGAGCAAGACTCACTTTTCCTAATAATTTTTTGCAATGGTTAGCTGTGATTTCTGACTGACATTTTTCTCATGACTGGGCAAGCTCCTGTTTTAGGTTACACAAGATTCAATTAATATTGTTAGGTTCAAGTGTGATAAGAAATACTAAAATTATTACAGTAAACCAAGGTTTACTTCAGCAGAAATTAAGAGGCAAAATTATTTCCTGTTTACACTATTGCAGCCACTCAAAAGAAGTATCTTCAAAGCAAAAACTTGGCAGGGCTTTGTTATCTATGTACCAACTTTCTTGGTTTGGCAGGGCAAAATAAAGGTATTTTTCAGTAAATAAAAGTAAAGGGTTTTTTTAGGGAGTTCTATGGCTATTCCTCAAACACCCTCTCTATAACTCAGATCACCAAATATCTACTCATGGATTCAGCACAGCGTGTGTGAGGTGTTCCACTGACCAAAAGCAGATCATTTCCTTGCCTAACAGTACCACATGTACAATACCATTAACATCACAGTGACCTAAAAATAGCTTCTAAATAGCCCTGGTGTCAAAACAGGGTAACTTCACAGATACCTCATCAAAACACTCTCATTAGCCAGTGCCTAAATGTCTGAATCAAAACACGGTTCAGTGCAGCAAAATGCAAGTGGTGGGGTTTACAATGCATACCAAATGCCTCTCCTGTTCAAATAATTCCCACTGTCTTCCCTTCTGTCGCTCTACAAAGTTCTCAACCACCTGCAGGTCTTGTTCCTTTATTATATACTTGAGATAAATACAAAATTCCTGTGGTCACACAAAAGCTCAAGTAGCAGAGTTTATGGTTATGTGCAACTTTGGCAAATGAAGAGACCAGTGGAAATATCAATGTAAGGAAAACAAGATCATACCTCCATTGGATGTATCACACCTCCAGTTTTTTTCTTATCACTCTGATTAGTATCAGATGCCTTAACATTTCAGTTAAACTTTCTGTGAGGAACAGCTGACCTAGGTTGCAGAAAGAGAAACCTGTTACACAACTCATTTGTCAGAAGCATCTGTTGCTGCTTTGCCTTTGCCAAAATCATGCCTCTCGTGTTGGATTTCAGACGAGGCACCTACGCACACCATATTGAGCACATTTCCATCACTTGAATATCAGCAAAAATTATTTTGTGAAAAAGTCTTGATTCTTCATAAACTGTATTTTCCCCTTAATTTGGGAGGCTGAAGTGGCTTTGTGGATATTAACCACCATCAGTCCAGTGCCCCAGGCTCTGATGTACCTGAGAGGTCTCATCACCATGGTTATAGACTCCCACCACATAACTTTATCTCTTTGAAATAGTTTGACTCACTTTCCTGAAACGTCTTGCCCTTCCCACTGTAAAGCAAAGTAGGATGCACCCTCTGGGCATGGGCTATTCCTCAGATTTCTAGTTCTCTTAAGAACCAATTTTCATTTACACCAAAGAACGGTACCAAGATGTTAAAGGCCTGACTTTTTTTTTCCTGGTATATTTGGCTTGAAAAATCTTCTGTAGTCCTGATCTGGTCTTGTTATTCCTTCCCAGTCCCTACTTGTGTCTAATCATCAAAGATATTTTAGAAAACCCAGGGCTTATGAATGAATTTCACATTTTTCTTACGTTAGGTAGCTACATGATAGGAAAACTGCCAATCAGTGGAACTACTGACAGCAGTAAATGAACCCAAGATTTTTCATATGTGCATAGTACAAAATTAATGAAGATGCTAGACAAAATGTAGGTTTATCTTCATCCACAAGACCAGAATTTCATCTTGAGACAGTTTTAGTTTACTTTAGGTACTAAGAAGACATTAGTAAAATTTACAGAAACTGTTGCTGGGTTCCCTTTTTTCTTTAAAATAAGATTTCATAGAGCTTCCTGCAGTTCAATATTTTAATAGATTTTTAACTAATTAAATTCATCTTTGCTCCTATCCCCTGTGAGAACACATCACTTTATTTTACCCTTTTCATGTTTAAATCTGAACTGGCTGGATGGAGTCTGTATACACTATTTTTCATGGGCTCACATCTGCTGATGACTTTTGCATGAAATGTGTGCAAGTTGTCTGAGCTTCTATTACAGTCAGGGGAAATCTAGGCCAAAGAGTCAAACATGTCTGGAGCAATTTCCTGAATCAAGCGAAGATACTTCTTCAGGCTGAGAGGAAAACCTGCCTAGGCTGACTCGCTGATAGGGAAAAAGCCAGGGGTGCAGATAGTAAGAGGAAGGGAATAACAAGATCCAATGAGCAAACAAAGTAGTTGTAACTTTTTGCTGTTGGTAACAAAGCTGAACCAGCTAGAG